AGAGCACTAGCATAACAGATTTTCATTACCATAAAACTCAATTATTCGACTTCCTTGGCAAAAGCGCACTCTTTAACATGTGGCTTTAAGGTGTTGATCAACAGTAGAGGCCGTCCATAGGCTGCAGGCCTGAATAAGCATCGAACAGATATTAATTAAAAATACTCACACTGTTATTCTCGCTTACACAACATACAACTTTATTCATTTAAAATAACTACAGATTCATGCTCTATGCTCCGCTCGAAACTTTTGCCAGCTCTATGATGCGAATTCTGCAAAGTTGGTCTGGAACATTTCATACACAAAAAAAACCGAAACCGTCGCTCTGACTACGCCACCTGACGGAATCTCACAATACAAAACAAAAATAATTTTATTCTAATCTTTCTCCACGTCCACGAGGCATCCAACTTGCTGCCAATGCTAATTATTGCACTCTAGTGCGAATTTCGGCGAAAAAAATGCCAAAAAAGGCCTTTTCTAGAGACGAAGTAGTGCAACGGCTGAACAATCTCGGAGGCTTACTGTTATACCCTCTTTAGGATTGACGTCAAAACCCAGTGCCAAACAACAAGTGTGCTTATCATACTTCTAACAATAATATTTATATATTAATCCTGCTGTTGGGGGCACTATGCTCTCAATATGTTGCTGAGGGAAGAATAGTGGCCCCCGAGCGGTAGCGAGGGCACTATACCTTCCCAAAGCAACACTATGAGAGCATAGTGCCCCCAACAACAAGCATTAATGTTTTTAGTGCATCACATGACTATGCAATCTACTTTTCATGCTTATAGTTATATACCTTCTTTATACTCCCTAATTTGCCGGTGCATTCGATGTAACAAAACGTTCGACACAAACACAAACGCCGTTCGAAACTTGCGTGGCGCCCAGACGCAGGAGATTCGTGACGTGAACACAATGCGTTATAATAACAATGCGTCGCGCAAGCAATAGTGCCCGCTCAGGCGGGCACTATATTGCTTCATAGTGCCTGCTGCGTTATCCAATGGAATTTCAACGATTTATCACGTGATGCACTAATGTTATTTAGCCGTACTATTTATTTTGTGCGTGCGTGCGTGTGTGTTATCTACGGCGTGTCTGAAAGAGACTTTCCGGTATAGACACATGCTGAAACTTGGACTGTTTCCCGACTGTTTCAAAATGATAAAATGATGGTGAACAAACAGAAATTGTATTTACTGCCAAAGTCTCAACGTTTATTCACTCAATATCGCTCAATAATACCACATAAATGCTGGTAAAATGGCCATAAAAAAACTTCTTTTTTTTTAAGTTTCAAGTAATAAAATAATAACGAAAGTAGAGTAAAACCTGAATTAATGTTAGAATAACGTGCGTTTTAACGATATTTAATTTAATTTTATAGATTACCATTTTTTATGCCATAATCTCTAACAAGGGCAGCGGAACGTATTTAATTCTGGGGGGGGGCAACGCCAAAAAAGGGCACGCTATAGGATGAACTCATATGACGTATCACGTATGCCTATTTATTTATTATGTATTTATTAAATATAACATAATGAACATAATTAACATGATTAACATAAGAAGTCAACATAATTCATAAAATAAAATAAATTAATAATTATCTTACTATAATTTGGCGAATATTGTATGTAATGTATTTTTATGAAAGGCTTCGTCAGTTTGGATCCAAATAGCGCCAAATTCACAGGAGAGATCGATGAATACACGGGATGGGTTCTAAACTATACTAGGTTGAAAACCGTAAAAAAAGGCTTGAAAAAGACAAAACAAAAAAGGTCAACATTTGCCTGAAAATAGGGGGCGCTATAAGCCAATCTCTGCCCAAACTGCATGCAGCGCCCCCTTCCCACACTCAGGATAATCAGTAGAATTGAGCCAGAGCGAGAGCGCCATCTGTCGTGGAGTTTGATCTCTGCCTTGCTAATATTTCGCAACGTGCTGCATGCACAGAGATTAATGTAAGTAGAAATACGCATGCAGGGGCGCAAATCCAGGTGGGGACAGGGGGACATGTCCCCCCACGAATTTTCAAAGGGGAGACATCATATCAAATGTCCCCCTCCCACGATTTTGGATCACCATGATTTTGTGTGTGTGTGTGTGTGTGTGTGTGTGTGTGTGTGTGTGTGTGTGTGTGTTGTTGTAGTAGTAGTACGTTACTTTAGTTGTTGTGTGTAGTAGTGTCGTACGTAACGTACGTTCGTTCTTTCCGTTTTTCCGTTTTCGTCACGTTCTTTACTTATTTACTTACTAAGTGTCTTATTAGAGATACTAATAATAATAGATACTAGTACGACAAC